GAGAGAGAGAGACACCCCACAGAGAGAGAGAGAGAGAGACAGAGAGAGAGAGAGAGAGAGAGAGAGAGAGAGAGAGAGAGAGCCAGAGAGAGCCAGAGAGCCAGAGAGACGGAGACAGGGACAGAGACAGAGACAGAGACAGAGACAGAGACAGAGACAGACTCCTCTCCTTCTCTCTCAACCTCCCACGCCCCTCAAGGCCTCTACTAAGGAAAGCAAGATGAGCTTTTCAGCCGCAAATCATCATCAAGTATCAATCGATGTCTACCTACATCGCTCCCACTGACTCCGACGGGCCGGCCGGGCAGTCAAAGGAGGATGAGATTTACTCTCATAGTTTATCAGGCTGGTACCTGTGAGAAACTGTGACCGCCGTTCTTCCAGGCGTTAGTCCGTCTCGGAGTCCCCGGGGGGCTGGGCTGGGGCGAACCGCTAGCCCGACTGAGCATGCCGTGACTGATATCTACAATATCAAGCTTTGCTTCCTACTGCCGCCGGTACGGTCAGCCCCGGGCCCGGCCGCCGCGCAGAGTGACTCAGTCGCGGGCAATGACTTGCTGACTCTACTTTTACCCCGGCGGCGGATCTGCCGGCCCGGGCTCCGAGAGTCCCCGGGGAGCGGCGGCCCTCCCGCCTCTGAGCCACTGTGAGTGTACCACAGCGCTCGGACTCGGGACCGCCGGGCCCCCGCAACTCGGAAGCTCGCGCGGCAATCAAGTTCGAGCAGCCCGCGACTCATGATTCGTGAGTCATACCCGGCGATTACAAACGGGGTGTTCGGAGGGCCACCCGTCAGACTCGGGCCCAGCCTATTCCATGCCATTGGGTCGCGCACCCGCCGGGGTGAGAGGCGGTACCTTCAGTCAGGCACTAACACAGTGATCGGACAAGGTATTGGCAGCCAGATGATTTCAACATGGGCCCGAAGCCTTCAACTGATCACCGTACGGTACTGAGGGGACTTTGAACTTCCGCTTTGCCTGGCAGGGTACTGCCAAGCCGGGTACCCGACGCCAAGCCCGCCGGCGGCCCGGCCGGCCCGCCGGCCGCCGATGTCACTGGCGAGTTAACTTGTAACTTCGAGTCTGGATGGTCTCTCGGGCTACTTTTCAGGGCCTGCCAGTACGGTGATTGTCCACGTGAAACCAGCGCGGACCGCAGGGCGGGGCCCCGCCGGGCAGTCCGCCGAGAATGACTCCATGACTCAATGACTGAGCCTCGTACGCCGGACGGTGACTCGGTAGGCCTGAGGCAAAGGCTCAATGACTCAATGACTCAATGACTCAATGACTCAATGAATTATGGTGACTCAGTAGGCCTGAGGCCTGAGGCCACGGCTAGACCGTGTGACTGAATGAGCGACAGACTCAGTACTGACTCAATGACTCAATGACGCAATGACGCAATGACTCGATGACTCAATGACGCAATGACTTCATGACTCATTGTCTCTATAACTCGATGACCCATTGACTCTATGACTCTGTGACTCTGTGACTCTGTGACTCAATGACTGAGCCTCGTACGGTGACTCGGTAGGCCTGAGGCCACGGCTAGACCGTGTGACTGAATGAGCGACAGCGTCAGCACCCCGCGCCGTTTCGGCAAGACCATCTCCGTCTGCACAAAGGTGCAGTCCTGCGAGGAGGAGCAGCTGCAGATCTCACTCATCGCCTCGGAGAACATTGCGGCCGCCCTGGGGCTATAGGGGGCCTTGGACCGGAAGGTTTGGAACGATCCTCCTCAGTAATGGATTTCTCCCGGACGGGGCAGGACCAGTGTGCGACCCCGTCACGGCGTTGCCCGAGGGGCTGTAGTCGCTGCGCGAGTCGATGTCGTAGGTCTTGAGCCAGCCCATGGTCTTCCACGACCTTGGCACTGCTTGAGCGTCTCGCCGTTGGAGTAAGGGAGGCAGTTCCATCAAGTTCCTGCTGACGGCATTGGGCGTGATCCACAGCTGGTTGTAGAGGGCCTTGCTGCTGCATGAGGTCAGGCCGATCAGGTTGCGGTCCGATGCGGTGAAGCCCATCACGCCCTCGTCCAGCATGCGGTACCGGCCTCACCTCCAGCAACACGCTCTGATTCGCAGACCTCAGCGGGCACTTGGACAGGGCGTCGGCATAGTCGGATGCGCAGAACACCTCCGTCTTGTTGCTGAGGATGACGGAGATGGCGCACCTCCTGCTGGTGCCCGTGGGGCGGTACGGGCACGGGGGTCGGCGGCGAGGACCCCAACGCGGACAGGTTCTACGGGTCGCTGTACAAGGACAACATGACAACGTGGTACCCGGCATGGGTGGACTGCTACAACGTCAACGGAATTGCCAAGAGCTTGTTACAGGTCAAGACGGGGGGTGGCAGGTGGTGTCTTGAGCTTGCCGTCCCGGAGGATCGATAGGTAGCGGTGTAGGAAATCCCTGTTGCTCCCGCTCAGCAGCGCCTCGTCGGTGCGCCTCACGCCCTGCAGTATGACATCCAGTTCGTTATCGAGGAAGATCCGATCGATGTTGGGGAAGGTGTAGAACAGCACCCCCAGGGTTGAAGGTTTAAGCATGAAGTTGATCGCCTAGGTCCGGGTCGGTGGGGTAGGTCCCGTCGTCGTAGGGCACCGGGTCCGTGTAGAGGATCTTGTTCAGCTTGCGCAGGTGGACGTAGGAGAGGTTGAGCAACTCGGGATGCCCCGGGTATCCCATGGCCTCCGCGACGATGGCCTTTGCAAGGTTGTCGTAGATGGCCATGCTGAGATCCGCGGCGCTGAGGCTGATCTGCGAGCTGCTCTCGGGAAAGAGGGCGTCGGCGCTGAGGAGGAAGTCCTGCATGGTCTTGGGCCTGTTATCCGCGTTCCTCCCGTTCTAGGCGTACAGGGTCGTGTGCGGGTAGAAGTAGCTGGCCACCCCCGGCTGGAGCTCATAGGCGTACCAGCCCTGGGGCTCGTTGGCGCTCTGGTGCAACCATGGGGTCCTTCCGGCAGGGTATCCTGTCGTTGAGCTCGCGGTCGGTGGGGTTGAGTTGCCGTTGTTCGAGATCCGGATGATCTTTCGGCTCTCCACCTTGTAGACATTGACGTAGAAGTCCTGCCTTGTGCATATCTGCAGCTGCGAGCACATGTGGATGGCCTGCGGGACGTGCTCAAAGTCGTCCTCCCCCGCCCACCCGAGAGGCAGAGAGAGAAGGGGAGAGAGGGGGAGAGAGGGAGAGGGAGAGAGGAGCGGAAGGGTAGGGAGATGGCGAGAGGGAGAGGGAGAGGGGATAGGGAGAGGGAAAGCAGCAAAGAAAAAGAGCCTTTCCTGCTCTTCCTCTCCCTGTTATGCTCGCCAACTGCCATGCAATACTCTCCCTCTCCTTCTCGCCTTCCTCTCCCTCTCCTCCCTCTCTCCCTCTCTTCCTCTCCCCCTCCCCCTCTTCCTCCAGAGAGTGAGAGCAGCAGAGGGAGAGAGTGGAAGAGGGAGAAGGGGAGGGAGACAGATTGAAGAAGAGAGGGAGGGAGGGAGGGAGGGAGGTTAAAAAGGGTAGAGCAGGTAGACGAGAGGAGAGGATTGAGGGAGGGAGGGAGGGAGGGGAGAGAGCCGATGAGTTGAGAGAGAAAGAGAGATAGTGCTGGATAGAAATAGAGGAGAATGAGAGAGAAGAGAGAGAGGGACGAAGAAGGAGAAGGAGAAGGAGAAGGAGAAGGAGGAGACGAGAGAGAGAGGCAGATACAGAGAGAGGGAGGGAGGCAGGGAAAAAGTGGGAGGGAGGGAGTAGAGGAGGGGTCTCCTTCTCCTTAACCTCCCACGCCCCTCAAGGCCTCTACTAAGGAGAGCAAGATGAGCTTTTCAGCCGCAAATCATCATCAAGTATCAATACATCGCTCCCACTGACTCCGACGGGCCGGCCGGGCAGTCAAAGGAGGATGAGATTTACTCTCATAGTTTATCAGGCTGGTACCTGTGAGCCAACCGCCGTTCTTCCAGGCGTTAGTCCGTCTCGGAGTCCCCGGGGGCCGGGCGAACCGCTAGCCCGACTGAGCATGATACCAAGCCTTGCCATACGGTCACCGTACGGAACTCGGAACTCAGTGACTGCCGAGTGCTATGTGACGCCGCACTGAAGCCGGGGGGCTCAGTGAAGCCCAGACGCCGTGCGGAGCCGCCGGGGTCCGAGAGTCCCCGGCGAACGGCGGCGTCGCTCGGACTCGGGACCGCCGGGGGGACTCGGAAGCTCGCGCGGCGATTCGTCCGGCCCGGCCCGCGACTCATGTTTCGTGAGTCATGCCCTGCGATGACAGACGGTTGTTCGGAAGGCCACCCGGCAGACTCGGGCCCGCCGCTATTCGGTCACTGGGTCGCGTACCCGCCGGTCCGGTGAGATGCCGTCGTATTGGTAGCTTGATGATTTCAACATGGACCCGAAGCCTTCAACATCACTGGCATACGGTAGGCTTTGCCTGGCAGCCGCTCCAGCGCCCGCCGGGCCCGCCGGCCGCCGAAGGCACTCATTACTAACTTCGAGTCTGGATGCGGTCACGGAAGGTATCACCACTGCTGAGCATCTTCGACTCTACAGGCTGCCAGTGATTGTCCTCGTGAAACCAGCGCGGCCGCGAGACGGACCGCAGGGCAGGGCCCGGGCCGCAGTCCGCCGACAATGACTCCGTGACTCCGTGACTCAATAATTGATCCTCGTACGGTGACTCGGAAGGCCTGAGGCCACGGCTAAAATGAGTCCATGAGTCAATGACTCTATGACTCAATGACTCAATGACTGAATGTCTCAATGGCTCAATGACGCAATGACTCTATGACTCTATGACTCTATGACTCTATGACTCTATGACTGATTAACTTTATGTGGTGTGACTCAATGACTCTATGACGCTCTATGACTGAATGACTCTATGACTGAATGACTCTATGACTCTATGACTCTATGACTCTATGACTCTATGACTCTATGACTCAGTGACTCTATAACTCTATGACTGATTAACCCAATGATCCATATCTCTATGACTCTATGACGCTCTATGACTGAATAACTCAATGACTGAATGACTGAATGACGCAATGACTCTATGACTGTATGACTGAATGACGCAATGACTCTATGACTGTATGATTGAATGACTGAATGACTCTATGACTCCATGGCTCCATGGCTCCATGACTCTATGAATCAAGTTATAGAGTCATTGAGTCATTGAGTCATTGAGTCCTTGAGTCATTGAGTCATCGAGTCAGTCAGTACTTAGTCTGTAAACGGTCGACCCGGGGGCTCATGCCTCAGCGTCACCCTCGAGGCTCATTCATAGA